ACATCACATACAACCCGGTATGTTTTACTACTTTTAATACTATTTTGTGATTCTTTTACTTCTTTTACTTGTATTACGATATATTACGTAATAACTCTTTAAATTAGTAAATTATTCTATTTCCTATGTCATTATCCAAAATCACGATTTGAAAATTAAAATTAATTTTACAGATTTAAAGCATCCGGGCACAGCCTTCAAATTTAATGGAAGGAACTTAAAAAATCAAACAAATAAAACAAATCAATATACGCAGAGCAAGAAGTGCAACAGATTTTAATTGATAGACCTGATGATGATGAGATAACATCGAAACATGTCGTCAACGTAAAATGTAACAAGATCTGTATCTAATGAAAAAATGTTATAATTTTAAGTAATTTTAACAACATTTTAAGTTTGTGTAAAGACGGTAAATAAATTATTGTGTTATAAATAATAGTAATTTTTTTTCTTTCACTTTTTGACTTGCTGGTTTCAAAATCGGCGTTATTCGGAATCGGCGCAAATTGAGAACTACCTGTATTTAAAAAGAACAAAGCTAAACATTGTAGAAATTAAAGTATGGATTCATAATTACATATCCTTATGACAGCCAAATAAGTTTTTCCATGAGAAGAATGCAAATGATGGGCATTAAAAGTTATGCAATGTATTAATTATGTGTTGCATAATGTCTACAGCCTTAATTGCTCCAGAATTCCCTATCCATTGAGTAGTAAACAATATTATTAATCAGTGGACATACAAATTGTATTCAATTATGAAAGTACCATTCCTAAAGTCTGGAATTACATTTCTTACCTGCAACTCTCAAACAAGTGAACAGCATCGCAGATGACCATTTTCTCTCACCAAGGAAATTTATGATGAGATTAGTTGCATCACTAATACGGATCAGTCCAGCCACTCTCCAGATACTGCAGAGGATAAGTACAGCTCTAATATTCGGTCCAATTCTCATTATTCTCATCATATTCGAACCCGCAAACGTTTGGTCCAGTGGCGAGCACACTAACCACTAGTACACCAAGGGCAACCAACTACAGTATTACTGCAAAAACAATTACACAAGAAAGCATACCTACTATTGCTTACACGTATTTATAATGGATGAGAATTTCTGGTTGAGATAATTCTTGTTTGGAGTAGGAATGAGACGTGAGCTACTCTTAGTGCTGGCTTAAACCTCTTCATATTATTGTGATTCAGACTTTTTATAGTGGGAAGAAGATTATCGAATACCTAATTTCTGGAACAGAATATTAACAAGAATTCTCTGAATAACCAAAACTACAGTCTACCTCTTCCCTTTGTGTTGTAATAAGAAATTGATATCAGCAAAAGAAGAAGCACATTGTAGCACTGCTTTGTTCAAAGAGAATTGTTAAAAAAACCTCATGTTTGATTACTTATGGTATGATGGCTTACACACATCATTGCCTAATTATGAGCGCTGAATATTAACAATTTAAACACAAAGTTGAATTTAAGCAATCTGCTCCTCATATTACACAACTTAAGATCATATTTGTTTGTAGTTTTGCAATGACGATTTTTAATATTAAAAATATAAACCACACTACAAGACACTGTATAGCTAACAGGTGTTTCATATTTCCTTTACCAACAATTTGCCCATCTGCATAAATCAATCAGGATCTTTCCACTATCCAATGTTTACCACCATCCTTCCGGTCAAAATCAATCAAAATAAATATGATTAGAGGTTCTCACGTTGGTGAGTATGAAATTCCTCAAACAAAATAATTACCAAGCAATATATCATAAAGTCTGGCAACTTATATGTATCCCATTAAAAATTCACATATTTAAAGGAGTATTTAATTGTGAATTTAAATATGTTAATGCAATAAATGCAGAAAAAGTGAAAATTGAAGCCTTAAAATTATGTAGTAGCCTATGGGAATTACATGCATTTCTTCCCAGTTCTTCACATTAATTTATATTTCTGGATATTCTCTTTCTGCTGTTTAACCAATGCTACAAGTCAAAAGATACGGGAAAATAAAAAAAAATGTTCTCTCTCTGCAGCCATTAAAAATCTACATGACTGTGGTGTATCTTTAAGTTCTGTAACTAAAAGTTACATAGCTATTATGTCCAGTTACTCTATACTGACAACAGTAAATCTATTTAATTATAAAACACCCACTCTTTTGTCTTGGTACTTCAGTCAATAAGTATGGATTCACACATATATTTTTCATAAGATGGTTATTATGGTACCATTATTGTGCCAAATAATTCACTCATAGTGACTACAAACTTCTGTTCATAGCATTTTCATAATACTCTTGCTGTATATAAAATCCTTGTGCATTAATTAACAATAAAATCAAACTGTTCAGTCTTACTTAACTGGTTTTCCTAGTTCCTCCAATGGAGTTTCAAGTAAGAACACCACTGTACATCTGAATTATTAATGCCAGTTCTATCCCTACAAGTGAACTATGCCAAAGGATCAGCAGTGTCAATACTAAATCCACCAGCCAGTAGCATATACCTTCAATTATCATAACCCATTTCCATAAGATCCATCTCAATATATCCTCCATCATCTTTCCCCAGACATTTCCCCCTATAAATTCTGTACACATTTCATGTGTCTGTACTACATGAACTCCTTGGCATACTTGATTTTTATGTATGCAGATTACATTACATATAAACTTAATTCAAAGATTTAAAATTAAATGGGCTTTGTAGAATTTTGTATGGTAGCCAATCTTTAGAAATTCCATGTTCAATTTTAGCATCATTTAAAACAAAGACTATATTAGACCAACATAAATCAAAATATTTACAAAGCAAATTTAAGGGCAGGCCCTCAATACAAAATTTCAAAATATACTGAAGATGTGTGAACAAACTAACATGATCATTCCATTATGTACTCTGCTCAACAGCTACATGAAAGCATTATTGTGAAATGTGTAAGGAAACCTGGACTGGATTTAAGATAGGTACTGGTGTGAAGTTACTGAAACATACAACAGATTAGCCACATTTTGTTCCCTCTCTGTTCAATATATATCTTTTTTTTACATAACTGATTTGATATACACAATATAATTCATTATTGACACATAAAGATTTTTATAAAAAAATTCATAGACTTCACTTTCAATAATTATGCTTCAAAAATCAGAGACTACATTATATTACAGGCCTTTAACTTTCACTGTTTATAGCACTCCATTGGATGACATCTTTTATCAGTAGGAGATACCAAAAAAAATTGAACAATTATCACTCTTAATCAGCATCAAAAGTTCTCTCTTCTCACACATACATACAAACATACCAGAAATCACCTATACAAATACACAACACTAAGTCTGGTTCCTTTTTTTGTGAGAAACGGAATATTTTCTTAAAAGTTTCCACTTCTATCCCATAAACATATATTGTTCCAGACCACAGGGGCAGGGATGGCATAATATAATCAGTATTTACACTTTAACACTGTGTAGGGGATAGGCATGACTTGAATCACTCAACACAGCATTACATTTCATTGTAGTACCTTCAACTCCCTGCACTCATGACCTGGTTTTCATTATTTACAAAGGCTAGTATCTACATTCTGTCATCAGTTTCCTCACTAGAATTACAATATTTACATTCATTATCTACAATCCACAACAGCTGTCACTCAAACTGTCTTTGGACTGCCAACCTTCTGTTCTGCTGTAAATTCAGAATTCTACACAGAAGACCTGGTTAATGTTGCTGCCTGGATGGCTAACAAATAGCAATAATTTTGTCTGGATGATGACACTAGGATGTCATTGTGAGAAAGGATGAAACAAGGAGCCTGGAGGAAGTTGGGTTGACTAGTACAGGTACAAAACCTAGTTACAATACTTAACGTATGTTACAGTCACTTGTATTTCAAGCTGTTACCCATTGTCAACAGATACCATATCATTTTGAGTGTTGCAAACTATACCTGTAATTTTAAAACATATGTAATGTTAATTAATTAATATATGGTGGCTATACTGTTCAAAATGACACCTGAAACTACATATTAAATGTGCCAATTCTTCTTGTGGATATCTTTACTAAAGAAAAATTCATATAGAAAAACAGACAATGGTTCAAATTACCTTTTCTATGTACATACATAATATATCTTTATGGAGCAGGAGTGGGAGGCAGAGGAATTCCTTAACAGATTGTATATACAATAGATTTTGCACAATTATTTGCTGCTTTTGGGCATAGCTCACAATAATGTTCATGCAACAAAACCAAGATGACGTTTAAACAAATTATTCACCTTGGCACATTAACTAAAAAATATATATTTATGTAACAAAAACAGAATAATGTTCATGCAATTATTTTCTTTGTCCCGCGCCGGAGCCGCGCAGTCTGAGGCATCATGCTTTGGACCGATGATACGGAATGCGCGCTGGTTTGAGTTTCGGGGAAAGAAATTTCTCACGAGATTTTCGACCTGTGTATGGGACCGGTGCCACCCCAGCATCATGAGGAATTGGGGGAGTTACAATGGGTAGTGTAATCTGGTCATGAAAACTAGCAATGGCTGGGGGTTCGTCGTGCTGACCACACATCACCCTTTATCTGGTTGGATGATCGTTCACCTCTGCTTAGGTATGTGAACGTGGGGCCAGCAGCCAACTAGTCGGCTTTGGCTCTCAGATGGCTGTTACACCACAGATTATTATTATTTTCTTTTGGGTATGGATATGTTCAAGCACAAAACCCAAAGAATGTTGTAACTTAAGCTAATTATTCACAATGGGGAATGCCTTATGAAAAAGTTTAAGCAACAAAAAGCCAAGAAATATGGATTATTTATTGATGATTATTAACTCCTTGAGCCAGGAATCTGTGGATGTACTTGTAAGCATTTATATGGATCTATTTGAGACAATCCATGAATGCATTCCAAAATAAATGTCCTTTGGCACATTTAAAAGAACTTTCATCTAACAACATGAAATGTGTATATTCAAACATTCATTTAATTTACAACTGGTTAAGTGGGTTCTTTGTCACCACATAATGCCAAACTGTCAGGTTGCAGATGGAGGAAAAGGCAACCAGACATGGAGGGTACCTGAGAGTATACTGAAAAAGCAGTTGTGGATCGATGGCAAGGGGTGGTTCTCCATTTTGGGGGTTGTTAACAACTCCTACAACATCAACCATAACAAACAGCATGTTATGAAATACTGCACAAGGCCTTAGATTTGTGGAGATTTTGACTAGCTGAGTGATTGTCAGATTCTGAAGGACCCATCTGTATGGAGTTCATTATTTCACAGATTTTGTTTTTCTTTGTAATGATAACCTTATCTTTTAAATGCCTCATATGAACTCAACATATATTAGTATACAACACTCAGCGGAAAAAAAACATGATTAAAATAATTCAAATTATGTGAGCAATTAACACACTTTGAAAATAAAGGCTCAAAAATTTACCAGAACAGTAGACATGGATTTGAACACTATACCTTTCTATTTCCTTCTAAGAACTAAATACTAAAAAGAGTATCCAATGTCCTGTACTGATATTTAAATATTAAGGCAGCTATGTATCTTAATTGACAGATGTGAGGAAACATTAAAAAAATCATTATATTTCATAGTCCCACAACAATTAACCAACAATAAGGCAATAATAAATTAAAATACTCATAAAATCAAACAAACAAGAACAAAAATTATTTGAATTATAATGTGGAAATGAACTGACTTAGTGATCATTTGCTGGTAAACTATACACTGGTGGAACAGCTATCCTGGCATATTTTTATGTCATACTTAGAAAATAAATGCGGAATGGGTGTTACATATTTAATTTTCTTTCATATGTTGTTCTATTATCAAACACCATCTTATTTTGTATTCTAGTTTATGCTAGGAAAGAGATAGGGGGCTTAAAATTCACACCATTACAATTTCTAGCAGAGTTAAGACATCTGTATCTAGGGTAATCAATTATTAACTCATCCATCCAGGAAATATTTGAGAAAAACAATGCATTTGACAACTGCAGCAATATACAAAAACTCAATGTTTTGCCATTTCAGAGTAAAAACCAAACTATGCCATGCCATAGCACAGGCAATTAGTTGCCAGCTTCCAGCCACAGAGGTCTGGGTTTACTCCTAGGGCAGTCCATGTGGGATTTGTGGTACACAAACTGGCACTGTGACACATTTTCTCGAGTTTTTGCTTTTCCCGTCAATATTTCACCATTGCTCCATATTCACTCGTGTACCATCTGGGATTAACAGCCACAGAAAAACAGAGATACAATCTCATCCCATAATAACAATAAAAAAGATCACACTAGCTTTCACAGTATATCTTGAAACACAGCGATTCCCTCTGATCAAGTTTGTTCTCTTGTATGCATACACAAGAGTTGTATGGTGCAGTATATTTTACAACTGCGTAGTAGAATTCGATACAATGCACCTGTACATTGTGAGGCCAAGAAACAGGTAAAACACTGAAAGTTTTAGAACTATCATGAAACATTATGAAATTGTCAGAGTGAGGTAGATGTTTCTGCTTGTTATTACAGTGATCCTTACGTGAACAACTCAGAAAATAAGGAAATCACAGAAGAAATAGTGGGTGAAGCAACAAAAAAGATTGGGAGAACAGAGAGTGAACGACAATGGAAAAACTTGATGATTCTTACAGTCCTAATTTCCTCAAAACAATGGTTCCACCAAGTCTGTCTCAACAGCATTAAAGGCATACAAGCTAAATTTTGGACCCTATAGACTGAAGAAAAACATATCTCTAGATAAATCCAAAATTATGTTAAGGAGACTGAGATTCTATATGCCTTTAAAGGTTGCTAAGTTCATTATAAAATCCTCTAAACTTTATGGTTTGCATACAGAATGCCTAAGGAAATTTGCAGTATGCAGTGGAAATACAACAGATCTAACAATTATCAGTGTTATCCTAGCTAAAAGTCTAAACACAAGTATGGGAGTTGTAAAATGTTTGGAATCACTATTTGGACATGGACACAAATTTTGGAAATACAATTCTACAACTAGCCAGATCTCTATACTCTTTGAAAGAAAAATGGTACTGTAACTGCAGGAAAATGTGCCTAAACTTGTAGGAGGGGCAAAGCTGAAAGACGGTAAAACAAGTTGTTATTTATATTCAAAAAGTGATGAAATGGATGGGAGAGGAGGAAAAAAAGCCAGTATATATTCACAACCATATTTCAGTGATACAATGATTACGATTTCCAAGTGAGGAAACTAAAGATGTAAGTGGTATAAATGAGTGTTACTCATATATGGGATGGACTGATTTGAAGGATCATAAATTGCAGCCATATGCACTTGGAAAAGAATCAAAAATGGAACACACAACTCAAGAGGTAACTGTACATTTCTACAAAGATTCAGTGCTGTACTGAGAAAACCAAAACATGAAGAAACTAGACCACCTCAATGTGTGCTGGATTTCATCCAACTTTTTTAACCACAACATTTCAGAAGTTCATTCTACTTCTGTCTTTAGGTGACCAGTGGGAAGGTAAACACCTACTCTGAAGATTTGTCTTCTGAGTTGTTGCGCTGTGTAGTCTGGTCGATGTTAACCAACGTTTCAGAGGTCATACTGGCCCACCCACCCTATTGGCATATTCATTGCCCTGATGACAGAGGCAGTATGACCTCTGAAACGTTGGTTAACATCGACCAGACTACACAGCGCTGTGAAAACCTCAAATCTTACAAACACCTACTCTGTTGGGCCTCCTGGCTGAGCTAGTTTTAACCAAACAGCATCAATTTACAGACTTATTATGAGATATGTGACAACTGCCTGAAAAAGACAGGACACAGCTTGTAATAACGTGAGTCTCCACACGGGACAGTGTGCCAGGACACAATGGAATATGTAAGTAAAACATTTTATAGCTCTTACAGGTTCAGAATTAGGCCTACTGTATTCTCAACTGCACAGGATGTTCTCCTGTACATAAGACCAAAATTGCATGCTTACAAGTGTTAGTTGGTCTGTAAGATAATGTAAACAAATCAAGAATCAATAAGACTGTTTGCCTTACAAATGGTTTCTTACTTTGAAAAGAACAAGACATTCCTTGATAGAATTTGCAATGCTTCACATGTGTGGAACCAAATGTCAGAGCTGAGTGGTTAGCCCTCCTGCTTTGTATTTGAACATCCTGGGTTCAAATCTTGGGTAGTAGATTAAAGTACACCATGACTGCTTCCTTCCATATACTTTCCAATTCATAACTCAGTGATCATCGTATCATTCACCTCTATATAGTCAGAGCTTCTGACAAAGTTATTAAACACGCCAAAAATAAATTGAACTAACAACAGACACAACTGGTGTGTGTGTGTGTGAAAGAAAGAAAATATAATGAAGATACTGTACATAAGCATGATTACAATTTATTTTAATCCAAGTGGACCACACAATGATCCTGGGTAAATCACGCCATGTTCAATTAATCCTTTCTTTTTTTAAAGAGCCTACAACAAAAACTATCTTCAATGGAGAACACTGCTCTGCACCATGTATGTGCTGGAAGTGTTCCAATAGATGGTGCACCACCTCACTACTTCCCTCGCATTCACACTTTTTGGACAGCAGCTTTCTTGATCAATAGATTGAGTGAACCTTAATCCAAGATAGAACACTTAGATATACAAATACTGGAAGTTTACTGCAACTGGTATCTGTTTTGATAAAAAACTGCAGTTCTGTTTCTGCAATAATTCATTTCAAAATTGCAACACTTAATAATTAAACTTCTCATAGTGCTCTGAAAATAACTGAACAGGGTAAGAAATGTCCCAAATCTTAACCCTTTATCATACTTAATGCATTAAGCCACAGTAAAATTAAAAGTTGTTGAAGTCTCCTTCTGTACTTAATTTAGTACATAAAGGGCACTTAAACCTTTAAAGCCCAATGAGAACTATCTGTACCACCTGCTTTAATAATCATTGACTCTGAATTATGTATTTACGGATTTTGTATGCTGCTTAGTGACAGCAGCAATAATTTCCTCAAATGCCATTAGCCACTTGACATTTATAATGATGAAGTGTTGTTTTCCTTCGTGGTATGGACTGAATTCTTAAATATTATTTAGACAAACTTCAGCTTTAAAGAGTTAAATTAACTAGTAAGATAACATCAAGAAAGAGTGAATTTAAATAGCACGGCAAAGGATAAAACTATACCAGGTAACACAGCCTGGTCAAAATGATATGGTATAAGTTTTCCATCAGGTTTTAGCTGAATGAAGGCAGGAACATATCAATATGGATTCTGTGCTATAGCATGGGGTTTTAGGAACAGTGATTACCTAATGTAACAGCCACAGTTACATGAGAGTTGGTAGGAGAGGGAGTAACGATGCAAAAGGAAATTATGGTTTCACTAGCTCTGACTGCTGTTGAATTGGAACACCGCTGGAGGTGGAGGGGCATGCGAATGAGCAGTTGCAGGGGGTGGCAATGGTTTACTGCTGATGAATGGTTTTGGTGGAAGTTTGGGTGTTGTGTTGCTGTGATTATCCACAAAGAATGCATCTTGATGAAAACAAACGCCAGTCTTGTGCCCACCACATGACACTGAAAACAAATTACATCACACAAATTAAGAATGAGAAGTTAAAAGGTAAAACTTAGGATGTTATTTTCCTTTAAAAGCTTCAATCTCTATAATAAGTATAGCAGAAACTATAAATTAACAATCTATTTTAGCACAATTTCCACCAGCACAAACTCCCATTACACCAAGTTTTGTCAATTATAAAACTTTTTGTGCAGCCACCATGTTTGTAATTGTTAACATATGAAAATGTTAAACACTATATGTATAGGTAATTTTGTGATCTATTCACATACAAAATTTTACATCACTCCAATGGTTCATTAACTCGTATATTACCAGCAAACAGAAAGCTAAATAGAGATTTGTGCATATACATTCTACAAAAGAGTATCTTGAAAAAGCTGCATGTTTCTTGCAGATCTAGTACTAGACAATATTTTAGGACCACACATTAAGCAAAGTTAGTGTTGCTCCTGCCTTGGAAGTTCACATGACCATTATGTTGATATTACTGATGGCAACAACAGCAGCAGCAGCAGCAACAACAACAACAACAACAACAATAATAATAATACTCGCGCGCACACAGAGGTGTGGTGGCACGTAGTAAGCACAATATTCAACATCGAGTTTGACATAAGTTTGTTTGTGGTTTATTTAATGACACTTTTTCAGTAGCTCAGACTATACAGTGTTGAATGAGAGGATGATAGTGAATTGGAAAGGATGTGGAAGGAAATGGTCATGGCCTAATGTAAGGTACTATCCCAGCATTTGAAAATCTGTCAACTGGTTGAAAGTTATTGTGGGGGACACACATAAACATGATGTCATAAGCCAATCTTTTGCTAAGAAATAAGAAAAACAAGTTAAAAATTTAACGTTTAATTTAGCTGATATTTTTATGCACTAAAAGGAATCCTACTGCTGTCCACATGTATGTTCATACCACTGCATCCTTTTGGTCAACATTTTAGGATTCATAACTGTCTTCTGCATTGTTACAGTAAACAACAATTTACAATCATCTTAAAACCTTGCATACAGTGCAGTGTATTGATATATAAGATCATGCATACAAACAAAACTGTTTACACATTAATGTGTAAAGAGTTTTGTATGCATGATTTTATAATTCACAATCACCTTCTTAATTAACATACTGCAGAAGATAGACTGACATCTGAAGTGCATCTGAGATCACTTATTCAACAGCTGTTCTTACATACTATCTTACCTGAAGAATGGGGAAAGCAGGTAGTTGAAGTTGTAAAAATAGGCCCATTTACAGACATGTGTCTTCTTGTAGGGATTGGTGCGGTTGTGCACGTGTTTCCACTAGCACAACAACAAGGTACCAATGACTGAGATGAAATGAGATGCATGTCCAATGCTGAGTTCCGCCTTAGCAGAGGAGATACTGAAGAGTTGTTTAAGGTAGCACTGAGATCACGTGACTGTGAAGGCAGAATACGAGGCATTGTTCCTGATACAATGGAGAATCCTCCCACATCACGTCGAGGTGGAAGGGGTGGAGGAGACAGGTCTCTTGGGGGAAGCATGGGTGCATCAGGAGCTTGGCGAACCTGTAAAGAATGTTAGTAGTTATTGTAAGACAAAACTGCAACTACTGTTAACAATTACAGCTCAGAAAGCAAGTAACTTGTGTTATTTCAGGTTCTTATGGTGGCAAGTATGAGGATGGCTGCCTTCTGGGTTTTCTACTGTGTAGTATGGTATAAGTTTACAGTTTTTCAGAGATACTTGCTGCCACCATCACCCTAATGACTAATACCAGACTGTATGACACAACAACCCAGAAGACAGTTACCTTCATGTAACTTCTCATTTTTATTTCATAAAACTACAGATATCATTTTTTAAATTGTACTGGGTGACTTTCAGTGACCAAAACTTCACAATAAGTATGAAGACTGGCTGATTACTTTTAAAAAGTTGTACATGATACACAATTTTAATATACTGCTTTCTCCATCAGAAAAAAAAACCCATCAAAATACATTATGGTTACCTGCTGCAGAGGATTGCCATCCCCAAGTGATGATTCTCTTGGGCGGCGAGGAGGTAGAGGGGGAGGTGGACGTGGATTAGGAAGTGGGGCAGGTGGAGGAGGCATGGCTGTAACTGAGGTAGTGGTTACAGGGGGTGGGCATGGGGATGGTGAAGAGAAACCAATCTGACCACCTCCAGCTACTTGTTGTGATGAAATGGTTGGAGACGTTGCTGGAGAGCTGGCAGCAGAGTTCAGCACCAATGATGTAGCAATTCCAGAGACTATACTACTTGCTGCTGATTGAATAGGACCAGGTGATTGGTTTCCTGAAGCTGCAAACATTACATCATCAGTTTCAGCATAAAGAATGAGAACAAATATTTATTAAACTATAACAGTTAATGTGACACTGCATTTAAAAAAAATACTGTGCTAATTTGAATACATCGACATTGTCACAAGATCTTTAAAATAGCTAAACTATAACTAACCTGCAGGTCCAATGAGAATTGGTGCAAAGACACTGAAGTCAGAGGAATGACCATGGTATGGAGGTGTGTGGGGTGCTGACACTGTAAGTGGTGTCCTTGGAGTTTCCTCCCCATCCTCCGGCAATCGAATGGTTGATTGGAATATGGGACGTTCTCCCATAGAAGGAAGGGGGCCAGGAGGATGGTTGCGTCCTGGTAAGTTACGTGGCTTTATACCAGGTGACTTGAGGTTCAAATCTGGCCACTTACGGGGCTGGAAATGAGATACCTTCATAAACTCAAAAGTTAAATTGCAAAATATGTTGTAACATATATTTATGTAAGCAAAGATATTCATCAACAACAGGAAAATTCAAAGTGTAAACTCATCTTTAGTAAATTTCTTAAGACAGCAAACACAATGTTCACACTTACTGTGAATATACATTAAAACAAGGCAATATGCTGCAAAGCATATTAAGAGGCTAGATGGAACCATAAAAGAATAATTATATAATTAATTATTAATGTACAAGCATAATTTCAATATTTAATGAGACTGATTAGTGAACACAGTTAAATGTCAAAGAGCTATCTAACAACACTTATTCACTTATCTTTTCAAAGTAGTCTTAAGGTTCCAAGGCCATGCTATGTCACTTTAATAAAACCTTATAGTTACACCATCAATCTGGGCAACTTACAAATCTGGGAGGCTGACGGCATCCTCTAGGTTCCACTTCAAGTGATTTGTTATACAAGTAGTTACTGATATCTGTGTCCTTCTGATCCTCAAATGGATTTAGATTTTCTAGGAAATGCTGAAACAAGATTATGATTTTATGAGATAAATGAAGTTTTTAAAATATCACTGAATAAGCTGCTCTAACAGATGTTATTTCAGTCAGTTCAACATAAATTCCCAGAAAGAACTTATGATGCCTACCTTTCTTTAAATGAATCCATCTATATACTTTGTACATAGTCTAGCATGAATGATAAATAAAGTAGTGTAAAAATGCCTACTGAAATTCAATGGGGAACAATTTCTTTCACATCTTCAGCACTTGCCCTGTTTCCTGCTTTCCTTTACTCCTTTAGTATTTCTATGCCCTTCCTCCTTTCCCATTCTCTTCATGTGTCTATCACTCCTCTCCCTGATGAGACCATTTTGTGGGTTGTAGCGCCATGCAGTCTGGTAGAAGCTTGCCCACATTTCAGAAATCCTGCCCTAAGGCCCTCTGAAATGTTCGTGAAGTTCTACCAGACTACATGGAGCTACAACCCAGAAGACAGCCATCTCTGTACTCACTGCTGAGAGATTCTCCAATCCTACTCCTCTTCCTCTTTCACCATTCCTGTATCCCTTTCATACATATATCTCCTTCCATCATTTCTCCACATTCCTTTACCATTAATTAAATTTATGCATCCTATCACCATTCCTCTCCCCATTTCTTCCTTTCCTTCATCCCTTTTGTAGATTTATCTCTTTCACCCCACAACACATTACAGAAGAATAACAAAAAATATGCTGTACTACATGTTACATTCTTTTACCACTTTCTGTGAGGTCCTTGCACATTTAAATAGTGTGCAACCGAGCATGAAAACATGAAACTGTGTTAAAAAGCAGATAATTATTAAACAACTTAGTAAACTATTTCTGACACTACATGAAAATTTGAACACAACTATACAGTTTCACATCAACATCATCATCATCATCATCTTGTTTGTAATAATGTAATTTTTCTTCTTTTCAAAATTTGTCTGTGCATTTGTGTTCTACCTACCTACCTACAAAATATCACATATCCACATGCAAACAGTTATTTCCATAAGAGAAAAAGCAATATACAGATTTTATGTTTCTCGTATGTTGCTATTTTACATTGTGCCAAAAAAGAATTTAACAAAACTTACACACATTTTTAGGATATTTTATAATACAAAATCTTATCAAAATATGTCAACAGACTGAAAACACATAAATGTCCAGCAAAACCCTTATGTAAAGTGACCCTATTACTCATAACAAAAATTATGTTTTTGAAGTTTCATCAACATTTGTCAAAGGACTCATGGCAATCATGATGAAACTAATGGGAGGTGTCTAAACACTCATAAAAATACACATACAACAAAAGCACTTATGGGATGATAAAGGACAAACACTGGATACAAGTAACTATGAAGTATCATTGATGCAGGGTATCTAGAGCCTGACTTAGTATGAAGTGAATGTGCATGCACCCACATTTATGACAAACTCACTTCAGGAAGATCAAATTCAGAGACTTCAAGAACAAAAATTCACATCCTGGCCATGAGAAATATCCATATGCTTGATGCTGTCAAGGACAAGCTAGGTCTTAAGGTCCCTGGAATATACTGTATTCCCTGCAAATGCAGTAAGGTTTATGTTGGACAAACTGGCAGAACCATCGAGACCAGATGTAAAGAACACAAGAGACAAATACGTCTTGGTCAGTCAGGTCTGCTGTGGCAGAACACAGCATCGAAGTGGGAAACAACATCGACTTTGACATCACAGTTCAGAGTAAAACAACAGGATATATGGACTGCCTGATAAAAGAAGCAATACAGATCAACCTGCATCCCAGTAACTTTAATTGGGATGGAGGCTACACTCTGAGTCGAACGTGGTATCCAGTAACAAAAATGCTCAAGCAATCTGGGCTAAACACTAATAGAAATCAGGGCCACACAGCACGAGCTCTTGACTCTGCTCACCAGTTGTGACTGGCTAAGGTCCAGCCATGAGCACTGGCTGGGCAGGTGTAAGTGGGAGACAACTGCAGCATCCAGTCACAACAGAACCCTGATGATGGGGACAGTGATAGTCCCTGAAATGTCAGTTTTGTCTTTTAACCATTTGACACTCTGATTGCCCGAGAAGATTTTGTGGTGTGTCATCACTGCCCTACATGTTTTCAATTCAAAAGGACTTGTTACTTACCCGTATTTTAGAGTGAACACTGAGACAATATGGCTGGTTCTGGTACTGCTGAATCTCTCCTGTGATCTCTGCCACCTTGCGTCTTTTACTGAAGTTGATGAGTTCAGGGGAGTTGGGCAGGTAGTCTGGGTTGCCCTCCTCAATGTGTAGGATATTGGTCAGGTACATGCCTAAGAGAAGGGTGCATAAACAGGGGTGAAATTACATAAAACTGTACGTACTATCATGGTACATGCATACCGAGTGTGCATCAAAAACTACAGTTGAAGATTTAAAAAAGAAATACTCACCAAAGAAAGGAACGCAGGGTGGGTTAATAGAACGAAGTTTCTCTTGATATTTACGAAAATGATCACTGTTCAATTCCCTTGCTTCTTCAAGAGCCTTTTCCAGTCTTTCAGGTAATTTCTGAATCAAGATTAAAATGTGTTATTTATAATCCACATTGCACATTTGTACCAGTAATATATTTTATTACCATTTACATGCATTATTGGAGAAGTCAGCCAACCTCAATGCATTATAATTGAACAATTATGTAAAAAAATTACATGTAAAAACAATTTAAAGATGACCTATTAGGTCAAAATACGGTGTAAATAAAATGCAAGGCCTATTATAAGTTGTCTACAGGGAAAACAAACTATAATTACAGGGAGTGGATGTCAAATGAAAACTACTTTTAAATTTAAAAACACTAAATGGATATACCACTGTTTCTAGAATTATGAAAAAAGTTTCTATATGCCAATTTTATTTAACAATGCTTTATCAGCTGCACAGTTTATATAAGTGAATGACAGAATGTGCACATTTCTGCTCGATAGAACTAAGTGGGTTCAAGAGTTACTCATCTTGATATGATGGTTAAAAGAAATCTAAACTTTCAATGGTATACCTGCGAGGAACATTTCAGTCGGAAGACAGAGGCTGAACCCATGGCTGAAACAACTGCTAGGACACCATTGAAGTTGTTCAGGTCTTGCAGCACCATCATAATTTCTATAATCCGAGACATTATTGCCACTCGCTCCTCAAAATTCTCTGCTTCCACTATATTTTTCTCTAACCATCGAGTGAACTGTGAACAAATATTGGTATATTTAATAAACTGTTGGTTACCATGCTATGCATGAGACATCTCATTCAAAAACATTGCTTCCCAGGTGTTAATTTATTTCTTATTTGAGAACATCAGAGAAAGAAACCTCTCTCAAAATCTCAAAACACATGTGGTTTTTTAACAATAATAATTATTATATGTCATCAAACAAAAATTCTGTGTGAAAAGGGTTAAAATCTATATTCTGCAATAAGACATAAAACAAACCATCAATCATGTATGTAAGGACTTACATTGGTAGTATGTTTAATCATACGAAGCAAGTTGGGGGAAGTTTGTTCTTTGTTCTTCTTGGTCCACACACTTCCAACCAACTCTGAAGGTTTCACAGCCCTATATAGTTCAAACTCCAGCAGTGTTAGCTGTCTGGCTATTTCAATTGGATGCAGCTACAAACACAATACAGTACATTATGTACCTATACTACTTACATAAATACTAGCTACACCTGAATGTGGGCAAAAACATTTGGTAATATGAAATACAGGGTGGACCATGAATGAGATAACCTGAATGCACTCTGCCACCAGTGGCAGACCCATAAAACTGACCTAGTATCATATACCAGAAATATATAGTTTTCAAAATAATTCAAATTTAACAGTGTATACATATATGACATAGTGCAGATGTATATTGAACTAAAATTCCTAAAAGCAGAAATAGTGCAGTAAAGGTAGAGAAATAATATTCATCTCAAATCTAAATACTTCATTACACTAACATTACTGGTGACAAGCTATAGCAATAAACAAATACAACTGATATTTGAAGTTTAGGAGTTAAACCTATTTTGACAGATATCATATAAATTTAATGATATGAAGTAGAAATAAACTGTAATAAGATCTGCATGAGCAATAAATATCCCAGTCCAGTGAGGTATGTAAAATTACAAAGAACACATCCGGAAAATGTGTGTTCTCCAAATGGAGTACAGCTCTTCTTATGATAACAAATTCAACAGTGTCCTTAAATCTTTAAATGTTCATAAAAATACAGAATTCAGTACAGTGTTAGCCAATAATTGCTCAATTGTAAGCACTTCTCACACAATATTTGACCTATACACTTGTCATTAAAAGATTCGTACATTTAAAATTAAAACACAAACTATACCTGCCATCCGTCATGAACAGCCTAACTACATCATCTAACAACTAAGAAGGATTAACTTTACAGCATGCTTTACATTTGCAAAATTTTTCCATCTGATTTATATAACCCAAATTTAATTTTACTCAGTCTTACTGTAAGAACGGTCCATTCCTCTTCTGGACAGCATATATGCCATTCAATGGGTGGAGGTGAACGGCCAAAATTAAATGTTATCTCTCGCTGCAGCTCATTAGGATCGGACTGAAATTACAGTAATCAAATTGTTTAAAATACTGTCTAACCGTCAACTGTAAAGTGTACACATATGGGATAGACTTTTTAAATACAAACTTAATTTAATAAGTCACTATACCTTAAGACAATGAATCCTAATTCTTTATCATAACACACTCTTATCACAGAAAACAGTATTTAATCCATCAACTGTAAATCATCTTTCTATACTTCATAATGGAATACATTCCCGCTGAACCAAGACGGCTCCACAATTCCATACAGTTCGCAATACTACTAACCAACTTTAAATCCTAAATGTTCCAGGCTTCAAGGAGTTGAATTTTGCTTCACAGTGCCATGTATATTCATGTTTAAATCTTTTGCTTCTTGAATGCTTGTTTTAATGAGGCTAAGGAGATTTAATGTTACTCCAACATACCATTTGTTTAGTATACTTTAATTTACTTTCCAATAGGAATTCGTTATATATCAGTTGCTGCATGTAGGTCAATAAATTATTGTTGTAACATTTTCTTTATTGATAAGCTTCTGACAGACATTTTACAGTGAGCATAATAATCTAAATATCACTATATATTAAACTGTAAAACTAAACACAGCCAAATGGAACTTCAAAATTCTAGGATTGTGATATAACTTGTACTTCATGAATGAAAGTAGAATGTCTGTGCATGCATGCACACACACAAACACACATTATTGGCAAAACTGATTCTATTTCCACGTGTGCATGTCTTATGTTCTTTAGTCTACACATTTAAATAATTACATGAATTTGAATGACATCACTGTTGGAAATTTCTATCATCAGGGGGTTCTTTCACTTTATATCAAGACAATGAAAAGGGTGACTAATATGTGCAATGATTACTGAATGCTTCTCTACCACGTACCTTCCTCTGTACTATTTTGAGAACAGAGTCAACCCACTTTCTCATGGACTTGCCATTGACTGTGTCAAGGAAGGCATGAAGATTCTCAAGCAATGAAGAGTCTCGCTCAAAGTCATAAAAATGATGATCCACCCAATGCCTCAACACATTCAATACTCTGAACTGCACAGGCTGACAGTATTCCTTCCTATACCTCTTCCAGTCTTCCCTTTGGGAGTTCTTGATTGTCTTTTCTGACTCCAAAGAGTCCTTGTTGTCATCATAGACTAATGACGGATCAGGAATGTTGAATCTCTCCACCAAGAGGTCCAAGAGGTCCTATACAGCCAATTACATATGCTTTTGAAATCTGATATTCTTAGCAATTTATCACATATTTTATATCAAACCTGTAAAATGTCTGATTAATAAAATTAAAGTATGACAAAACACATAACTGATACAAAAAATTCAATGAGAACATTTGGAACTGTAGGGTTTCAAAGTCTAACTCTTTCCACAATAATGCCACAAAACAGGTGTACCATCTGTCACACTCATCATGGAATGTGAATGCCAGGCCAAGCACTTACATAAAACTGAAATATGTGCTAATGATGGGACATGTTATTTCATTATACCTATGAGAAACATCATGCAGAGAAGGAAATGTGATAGGGATTGTGAATTATTACACCAATTAAAATTGTACATGGTTACCAATGTTTTAGAGGAACATACCGCCTCTATCTTTAGAGAATACTGAAGATCACAATCCTCATTTTCACTACAATGAAAATCTCTATTTTGCAGCAAAACTGTGATGTGATTTTATGTACTACAAAAAATTAAACCTACAAGGACACTGTTCAGGAAGAAATCTGATCAAGAGAGGTAAGACATGCCTGAATCCAAGTGAAAAGTTGCTTAGCTGCTAATGCAACATACCTTTCTGTCAACAAGAATAACTGCCAGAGACTCAATGTGGGTCCAGACTATGGTGGGGACTTAACATTCTCCACACTTCCAAAATTAAAGCATTAGTAGGAGCAAATCATTTGATCTGTGCATAGGCAAATCTGCATCCAGTTCTCATCTGGGATTGAAATTAAGCCTACTATGCCCACATACTAGAAATTTAAAATAAATCATGTTAGTAGAGTAGCACATACGCTTACCTGGGGTGAGCAGAAGCTACGGTATGTGGTGAGGAATGTCCTTACAAACATAGGATCAGCATAAATGTGATACGTTAACCTCTCCACTAACTTGTATAGTGTTGCACCCTGTTACAGAATACAAGAAATATTGCAGGCATAAGGCACCAAAATATAACGGAACCTTGCATCAGACTTATTACATGATGGTTGTTCAAATGAAACCCATTCAGGGACAGTCCTGGGTGAAGAAGCAGAGGTCATTAAAGAGTCCCCGTGTGTGCTGAGATACAAATCCCACTGATGCACCAGCCAATGGATCCCCTTCGTACAGAATTCCCTGGGCTGCTGCCAGAAACATTACACTACTGTTGACTTGATGTCTTCATCTGACCAAAATCTAGAACCCTTTACCACTTTCTTGCAGGTGATGAACATATGTACCAGAGCACATCCTGGACAGTGCACGTCACATTGGGATGGGCCATATTGTGCAACATGGTGACATCCCTTGCAAGCATAATCATACACATTCTCATTATGGTAATACAGCGGTCATGGAGGGTTTCAAAATGGTAACATGCATTAATGGCAATGTCACGGCCCTTGAACATCAGTACTAAACTACAGGACAGTTGATTTGGGTCAGACCAAGATGTCAAGACCACAGTGCTGTAGTGGTTCAAGCAGCACCCCAGATAATTCTTTGCAGAGAATATCCATCAATTGGTGCATCAATAGTATGCCTGCATTAATAACCATGGTGACTTTTTTAATAGCTCCTACTCCCTCAAAAGAACAATCACTGAATCGATTTCAACTAATCATAACTGAAGACATGGAAGAAACAGCAGGCTAATCTACAAAATTAGAAAATATCATAACTGAAGACATGGAAGAAATAGCAGGCTAATCTACAAAATTAGAAAATCCAGAATGAAAAAAATGTAATCTTACTATTGCCTTTTACACCTTTCTGTTTTAATACAACAGTGCTGCTCCCAAATCTTTAAATGTGAAGCAGTGGAATACAAAAAAATATACATATTTATGTGACAATACAGTATTAATGCAAATTACAGAGACTTACTGGTGCAATTATGTCTCGTACTATATCACAAGTTTGTTCCTTACTACAATGACAGTACAAAAAATTAACGATATATGTGCTATCTGAGTGGAGGTTGAAAACATCACAATTAAATGGTGTTCATATTTTATAAATTGGTACCATGTTCCAGGAAATATCTAGTCCACTTCAGACTTTTACAAATCTATACAAGTAAATTATAGCTCAAATAATTACCAAGATAGCTTTGTTGTCTCACCTTTATAAGAGGTACTCCTGCATAAAAAAATATTAGATTTAGAGTCTGCCTCTGCAAATCTGTATATTGAAGGTGAAGGCAAGCGTAAAGGGTGTTTCTTCTCTTCATCCAATAGAATACTGTCCAGAGTGCGTTCTAACATACTAAAGGAAAAAAGCAAGCACAATTTAGTCCACCTGTATGCATAATGGCATGTAAAAGTGAAGACAATGCTGGATTACCAATCAAGATGGCTGTCATCTGAGCAGTGTAAAAGAAGGCATAAAAACAAATAAAACTATTATTAAAATCACCATGCATATAATCATTACTATATTTCTGCATTCCCCTGAAGAAAGGTTGGAAAACAACAATTCTCATAATCAGCATCAAAACCAAAAAATTACTTCCTAAAAAAGTGTGCTAAACACGGTCATTTGGCCTGAATTGTTAATCTTATACATTTTGAACATGAGTTTCATAGTGTATAACCATTTTGAGCTTTGACAAACTTGTGTGTGTAGCAAATTCTGGAAGTTTATGACTCCAAGGGTGGGAAAAAAGCTGTGATAAGAGGGGTCCTTTATATTTCTAATACAGTCCTACACAATTCAATAAAATAAAATTAATTTATACAATCATTTATAAAATAAAAACCTACAGACAAAAATGTAAGCACATGTTGTGGCGCCATTAATTATCCATTCAAATTCAGTAAATGGATGACACATTTAATACATAGCAGATTCTAAAACTGTAGTGAATACCTGAATATCTAAGGGTGTTTGAGAACAAGTACTTAGGCATATATTTGGACCTAGGAGAGACAGAGGCCAAGACACATACATGGCTAAAATTAATTAAAAACTGTGGCTGGAAAGTTTAAAGGGAAGACTACTTGGAATACCTAGGCACAGATAAAATTTTTAAATGGGATCCTAAGTAGGTACGGACTAGACAAATGGTAAAGGATAAGGTCAAATGCAGGTTCCTGTTAACAAAGTGATAAATTCACAGTTTCATAAAACCATTGAATTCATCACCAGCTGAGATACTAATCACATTTTGCACCACAGCATTCTAGTTCTGATCTTTACACTACACACAGAAAGAAATGAAACATACCTCTTCGTATTAAGCATGATGAGATCAGCCATCCAGTTATTTTTGTCTTCAGGAGACTTTGCTACAAGTGTAACATTAGGCTGGACTCGAGGAGCAATTTCAAAAGCATTTTTCAGTTCTAGAAAATAACACCAACAAGAAAATCACAGCTCTAAACACACATTACAGCACTTTATTCCTGTATATAGCTCAACTTGTGCATCCAATTTTTATTTACCATTTTTAAAATAAACAAAAGTATAATCAGACTGTGACTAAATCTGATATAAATAAACATGATACTTTACTGATTAGTATTTTCATACGACTATTACAAAGCTGCACACCTTCAGTGTCCTCACGATCGATAATCTCCACTTTACGAATGAAGAACCTCTCCTTAAGACGATACTCTCCACCAACTGGTCCCGTGACAGAAACAGAAGCTCGCTTACTGTTAGGTTTACACAATATCATGAGCCCATCGAAGAGAAATACACGCCTCTCTGTAAGCCGTCGTCCACTGCCCACCTTCCGAAGTACATCCTCTGAAACAGCACATATTCATTCATTCGTCACATATCAATTTAAGTAACATTTCGATAGCATCTACAGGAAATAAATGTATTACTTTTGTATGATTGGAGAACTGAAATAATCTATCTAGAGTGATATAAGATAAGGGTTTCTCCTACAATATCATGGTCAATGTTTTTATAATCAACAACATTATACAGTATTTTGTTATACACAAAATATGCGAGTTCACTTTTGTATAGGATACATATGCACCATTGTAGACACAAAATATAACATGCAAAATGTACATACAAGATGATTTTTGAGAATGTGTACACTGCAGCAATTGTTAAAATAAGCATGTATTACAAACAGCAGGCAAGGGCAATTGACTTTAAAATTCTAGCATTCCCAGTCAAGGCGCATCAAAACCCTGAGGACACGACCCAATAGACAGATGCAACTTGATTAAGAATACCATATTTTGTAATTCACACACTTTTTATCCAAATTCTGTGACTCGTAAGTGGGGGTCTTTCATAAGAAGATAATAGTATCAATCACCTCATCCTCCTTGATTTGATCATCCCCTGTCATTTCATTTCTCTTAGGTCCAAATATTCTTCTAAGCACCCTATTTATGAACACCCTCAATTTATGTTTTACCCTCAATGTGACACACCATGTTTCATTTTCATACAAAATAACTGGTACACTTACAGTTCTGCATATTTTAATCTTCAGGGATTTTGATACCACACAAGGCGACAAAAGATTTTGAACTGCATGGTAGCAAGCACTCTCAAAGTTTAGTCTGCCCTTAATTGCTTTGTTTTGATTTGTTACCACTGTTTCCAAATACTTGAAGTCTGCCACATTCTTAAGTGCTTTATTAGTTACCCTGATACAATGATTCTATCCTGCAGTCTGGTAATGAGACATGAATATATACACAGTTGTTACTTTACGTAGGATCTGAGGTTTTCATGGTGGTGAGTCTGAAGATGGCTGTCTTCTGGGTTGTAGCTCCGTGATCATCGCCCTGATGATGGAGGCAGTATGGACCTCTGAAACATTGGTAAACTTCTACCATACTACATGGTGCTACAACCCAGAAGACCCATATTCGTAACAAATCTTTGTTGCAGAAAACACATTTTTTCTGTGAATTTCCACCTTTCTCAACTTCACATTCTTATCTCTTGATACAAACTGGTGAACTGATTATGCATTTACTTACCTCGAATAAATTCATTACAGCACTGGCCTATGTCTTTACCCTCCCAACCATCTATAGATTTTTGAAGTTCATTTGTCTTTTCAAGTGCTGCCTGTCTTCTTGCACGCCCATGTATCCGAACCCCAGTCTCTCTACAAATGAAAGTTCATTGTTACATTGTTTAGACATAGCAAGGACAAATATTAAATATTTAAGCACAAAATTATTTTTATGATGCTCACAATAACTTACTTTTTAGGCAAGCTGCCAACAGTCTGTTTAAGCTCCATCTGCAAAGGTCGAAGCAGCCCTTCTACTTGCTCTAAAATTTCACCATCTTCATCACCTAGTGTTAATCGATGGAGGATCTGAATTTATTATAAATAAGATTAATTTTACTTCAATTGGCTGAGCAAATGTTTCATTGCAAGATTATGACAAAAATTACAGATAACAGAGAAAGTCTACATGGTGTGTTCAATAAGTAACACTCAGTACTGTGCAACACTCACATTTATTACTACGACACAGACATCCAACACAAAAATGTTAATGGACAAATCTCCTGTTTCTTCACATAATCACCATGAGAAGTTGAGAAAAGACTCAGAAATACACCATCTGCTTTATTCTAATGGAGAAGAATCAGGTGTCGCTGTCTGCAACCATTTGGTTGGTTTTCACCTTTCCATCATGTTAGAAGCATTTTCCTTTGAAAGGCTTTTCAGTTGTCTAAGGAGACGAAGCCATGTACATCCCAAAATTCAGTCAACCTTTTATCATCATCAGTAATGAAATGTGAGATTGTCACTCCATTATAACACCAAATGTAGTATCGTCCACACAAGAAGTTTTAAAACACTG